AAATCACCTCATGCTACTGTCAGGGTGAGGGGAAAATAAAACATTTTGAAATATCCCAGAGAACTCTGCTCTTCTTAACAAGGTCTGTCCTCAGAGGAAACTAGTTAACCACAGCCTAACCTGCTGGGGTATTAGCAGAGCCTAACTGACCTGGAAGAAGGGAAATACCGAACTCTAGTTCACTCCAGCCATCCTGTCCTCTAAGAGGGGAGGAAAAAAACTGAGAAACTCTTGTGAAGCTCACAGTCCAGAGGCATATTCACTAAAAGACTGAGATCTAATTATAGGACTATAAAACATCCCTCTCCCCTCACACCACATTACTAAAGGCCACTTTACAGCAGTTCCTTTCATCTAGTACATCATGTCTGTCTATGAAGAAAAAAATTACAAGGGATACCAAAAGTCAAAAAAACACAATTTGAAGAAACAGAGCAAGTATCAGAACCAGACTTGGAAGGGATGTTGGAATTATCATATCAGGAATTTTAAACAAAACTGACTAATATACTAATATCTCTAATGGATAAAGTAGACAACACGCAAAAACAGATGGTTAATGTAAGCAGAGAGATGGAAATCCTAAAAAGAACCAAAAAGAAATGTTGGTGATGAAAACCTCTGTAACAGAAATGAAGAATGCCTTTAATGGACTTAGTACATGGTACATGTCTGAGGAATCTCTGAGCTAGAAGATCTATCAATAGAATCCTCAAAAACTGAAAAGCAAAGAGAACAAAGACAAAAAAAAAGGAAACTAAAACAGAACAGAATATCCAAGGACTGTGGGCCAATTACAAAAGGTGTAACATACACATAATGGGAATACTAGAAGAGAGAGAAAGGAATAGAAGAAATATTTAATGACTGAGAATAACCCAAAATAACGTCAGACTCCAAATCACAGATCCAGGAAGCTCTAACAACATGAAGCAGGATGAATGCCAATAAAACTATGCCCAGGCATATAATTTAACTCAAATAAACCAAAGATAAAAAAAAAACTCTGGGGCTTCCCTGGTGGCGCAGTGGTTGAGAATCTGCCTGCTAATGCAGGGGACACGGGTTCGAGCCCTGGTCTGGGAGGATCCCACATGCCGCGGAGCAACTAGGCCCGTGAGCCACAACTACTGAGCCTGCGCGTCTGGAGCCTGTGCTCCGCAACAAGAGAGGCCGCGATAGTGAGAGGCCCGCGCACCGCAATGAAGAGTGGCCCCCGCTTGCCACAACTAGAGAAAGCCCTCGCACAGAAATGAAGACCCAAGACAACAAAAATAAATAAATTAATTAATAAACTCCTACCCCCAACATCTAAAAAAAAAAAAAACTCTGAAAGAAGTCAGAGGAATCTCTCTTCCTCTTACCCATAGAGGAAGAGAGATAAGAATTACACCCAATGTTTCTTCAGAAACCATGCAAACAAGAAGAGAGTGGAGTGAAATATTTAAAGTGTTGAGAGGAAAAAGCAACACCAACTTAGAGAATCCTGTATCCTGTGAAATTATTCTTCAAAAGTGAAGGAGAAATAAAGACTTTTTCAGACAAAGAAAAATTGAGGGAATTCCAGGCAAGAAATGTTAAAAGAAGTTCTTTAGAGACAAGGAAAATAAGGTAGGTTGGAAACTTGGATCTACATATATTAAGGGAGGGACTGAAGAGGGAATAAGTGAAGGTAAAATAAAAACTTTTGTTTTTCTTATTCTTAATTAATCTAACACATAACAGTTTTTTTCAAAATAACACCAGCAATATATTCAATTGTGTGTGTGTGTATGTGCCTATATATAAGTGAAATGAATGACAGAAATGATACAAGGGATGGAAGGGGGGGATTAGGATTATTTTGTTATTATAAGGTATTATTGATACCCATGAAGTGGTATAGTGTTATTTGAAAGTGGGCTTTGATTAGCTGTAAATGTATTCTGCCAACTCTAGGGCAACAACTAAAAAAAGCAAAAAAAAAAAAGTATAACTAATATACTAAAAAAGGAGAGAAAAATGGAATCATATAAAATGATCAATTAAAGCCAAAAAAGGCAGAAAAAGATTGGAAGACAAAAATAGGAACAAAGGGCAAAAAACAGAAAACAGTAATGAATATGGCAGATGGTAATCCAACTACATCAATAATCAACTTGAATATCAATGATCTAAATGCACCAATTAAAAGACAGAAATTGTTAGAGTGGTTCAAAAAACAAGACCCAAGTATATGTTGTCTTCAAGAAACCCACATTAAAATAGACACACATATAGATTAAAAGTAAATAGATGGATGAAATATACCATGCTGTATCTTCTGAGTCATCATCATCATCAAAGAAGAAGAATGCAAAGCTAGAACATGGAGGATCATCAAGCTCTAAACAAAATTCTGATCATAGCAATGGATCATTTAACTCGAAAGTTCTATCAGGACACTCTGGATATAAGTTTGGCGTTCTTGCTAAGATTTTGAATTACATGAAGACATGGCATTAGCAACAAGATACACATCCTCTTACTAAAATTTTGGATGAAACACAACATTTAGATATTGGACTCAAGCAGAAACAACGGCTAATGACTGAGGCAATAGTCAGTAATCCCAAAACTGAAGTAATAGATGGAAAATATGCCTTCAAGCCCAAGTACAACTTGAAAGATAAGAAGGTCCTACTTAGGCTCTTAAATAAGCATGATCAGCAAGGCTTAGGAGGAATTCTTTTAGAAGACATTGGGGAAGGACTGCCCAATTCCCAGAAAGCAGTTAAGGATTTAGGGGACCAGATACCATTTGTAAACCTTCCTGATAAGAAGAAAATTCTTTTCTTCAATGATAAGAGCTGTCAGTTTTCTGTGGATGAGAAGTTTCAGAAACTGTGAAGGAGTGTCACCGTGGATTCAATGGATGAGGAGAAAACTGAAGAGTATCTAAAGTGACAGGGTATTTCTTCCATGCAGGAATCTGGACCAAAGAAAGTGGCCCCTATTCAGAGAAGGAAAAAGCCTGCTTCACAGAAAAAGCGATGGTTTAAGCCTCACAATGAGCACTTGGCCTGGGTGCTGAAGGACTACTCTGACATCGCTCCTGGCAAGTAGTGAACAGTTTTCTCTGAGAGCAAAGAGTTACAAAGTCAAGATCTTCCTTGTTGATGCTGGGATGCGAAGACTGACTGTCTTCCCATTCTAGTTCTTAGGATCGAGGAGAGGAGCAGTTCAGTTTACAGAACTAGTGCAAATTACCATACTCGAAGCTTATTTTCATTAATGTGCTAATGACAAATGTGATGTCCCCGTTAACCTCCTGTTACTTCTTGGGGGAAAGGCGGTCAGCATGGCATGCAGGTGTCTTTGCTATTTATCTCTACTTCTAAGTGGTTCCTGGTTCCATTTTCCCTCTTTTATTACCTTAGAACAAGTTTGCTGATAGTCTTGAATGCAATATTTGTTTATTTCAAAAGAACATATTTATAATAAAATCATTGTAGAAGGAAAAAAAAGTAAATGGAGGAAATATACGATGCTAACACTAATCAAAAGAAAGCAAGAGTAGTTATATTCATTTCAGATAGAGCAGACTTCAAAACAAGAAAAGATATTAGGGATAAAAAAGGACATTACATGATGATAAAGGGGTCAATTCTCCAAGAAGAGATACAATCCTTAACATGTATGTGCCTAACAACATAGTGTCAAACTATGTGAGGCAAAAACTAATAGAATTGCAAGAAGAAATAGATAAATCTACTATCGTAGTTGGAGACTTCAAGACCCAATGGACAGATCCAACAGGCAAAAAATCAGTAAGGACATAGCTGAACTCAATAACACCATCTAAACAACTGGATATAACTGACATCTATAGACTACTACTTCATCCAAAACAACAGAATTTGCCAAGAAAGACCACATTCTGGGCCATAAAACACACCATAACAAATTTAAAGAACAGAAATCACACAATGTCTGCCCTCAGACCACAATGGAATTAAACTGGACGCCAATAACAGAAAGATAACTGGAAAATTCCAAAATACATGGAAACTAAACAGCACAATTCTAATTAACACATGGGTCAAAGAAGAAATCTCAAGAAAAATTAAAAAGTATTTTGAATTAAATGAAAATGGAAACAGAACTTATCCAAATCTGTGGAATACAGCAAAAGCAATGGTTACAGGGAGATTTACAACACTGAATGCATATACAGCAAAAAAAAGAAAGGTCTAAACTCAAAAATTTAAGTTTCCATCTTAGGAAACCAACAAAAGAGCAAATTAAATCCAAAGGTAAATGAAGAGAAATAATAAAAATTAGAGAAGAAATGAAACTGAAGGTAGAAAAGCAATAGAGAAAAATCAATGAAAAAAAGCTTGTTCTTTGAAAAGATCAGTAAAATCAATAAGCCTCTAGGCCAAGCTAACTAAGAAAAAAGAGAGAAGACACAAATTACTAATATCAGAAATGAAGAGGGGGGACTTCCCTGGTGGCACAGTGGCTAAGAATCCACCTGCCAATGCAGGGGACACGGGTTCAAGCCCTGGTCCGGGAAGATCCCACATGCCACGGAGCAACTAAGCCCATGCGCCACAACTACTCTAGAGCCTGTGAGCCACAACTACTGAAGCCCGTGTGCTTAGAGCCTGTGCTCTGCAACAAAAGAAGTCACCGCAATGAGAAGCCCATGCACTGCAATGAAGACCCAACACAGCCAGAAATAAATAAATAAATACATTTATTTTTTAAAAAATAAAGTGGTAATTTTTTATTATATTTTACCACAATAAAAAATACATAAAAGTTACTTGATTTCTACCCAATTTCCATATTCTAATAGGCTAGTATTGACCACTACATTTCATGTTTAGCTTAAGTTTAGCTTTTATCTCATTAACTACTCTAGATCTTAGGTAAGACAAATCTTATTTAACTTCTTGCAGCCATTGAAATAAAGGTATTCCATATTAGCCATATGTTATCTATTTCTATTTAATAGAATGAACCAAATAGCTTACCATCTGAAATACATCAGAGCCTTCATCAAAATCCACCATAGCAAAAAATATCCTGTTGGTAAATGCACTGGAATATCGCCAGGAGTTTGCCAGGATCTGGAATTCTTCATCAGCTTGCCTGGATGCAATCGGATTTGTGAAGATAACATATAAAACATTTTTTAAAGCAATCTAATGCAAGTCAGGCTCTGCAGACAAGGTTAGGACAAACCTTGGAAAACACTGCCACTGTTTTGGCATAAGAGAAGCCTTATACCAAGTGTTGGGGATTTCACCATGAAGTAGTGATTACTTGACTCTGCTTCATACTTTGTGCCTACTCCTTATCTCAAAGCTCCTTCAACATTCGCTGGAAAAAAGTCTAACTAGATTGTTTCTACACCAATTTTTAATACCCTAAATTACTTCTAAGAGTTCAAAGACAAGGTTGAAGTACTTCCCAGAGAAATTAGACTATAATATTAATCTATTTAAGAAATCTAAACTACAAAATGCTACTTAGTAAGAATACAGTCTGATGAATTATTACAGTGAAAAAGAAGAAGAATCTAAGGAATTGAGATTAATTGAAACCTCAGGCCATATTTTACTTTTCCCTGATCTCCCATATGCTTTCACTTTCTAAGATCTGACAATTTTTCATTTCTGATTATCTTTTAACTCTATCCTTCCCCATTTATTTTCATTGTTATCATCTAAAGTCAGATCCTTAATATCTGAAATTAGAACATTAAAACCCTAACTCTACTTTCTCCTCCTCCAATCCTTCTTACATTGCAATATATATCAGTCTTCCTAAATGACTACTTTCTTGATACTCCTCCTCTTCTCAGAAACCATTGCTGCTTTTCTATTACCTTCAGAACAGTCTCCAAGCTCTTTCACTGGTTATTCAAAGTTCTTTATCATCTATTTCCAAATAATGCATCTAGCTTTTACATAGCCTTACTACTACTCAACCTCAAACAGGATCTCTTAATTCCAGCACTTCATGCCTATCTCTGTACCCTTGCACACATCATTGCTACTAATCAGAATATCCTACTGCTATGTAAATCTGATCCGTCTGTCTAGCCCTAGTACAAGTCCTATCTTCTCCATTAGGCCAACCTTAACCACTCCTCTTATATGTCCTTCCTGAAATTTTATAGCATTTACTATGTACACAATTCATTTGGAACTTAATCATAAATTGTCTTATATTGCCAGCTAAATTTTCATATGTGGAACTGATTTCCCTAGCCGGATGATAAGGATAGCATATCTTTCTTATACTTTTCATCCTGATAGCACCAAATATATAGTATTACACACATCGCGGTTGCTTAGTTTTAATTATTTGAATGAGTTTAGGAAAATGTGCTAATTTACAATTTGGTCTTGTAAAAAGTAAGATAGTATTAAAAACTTTAGTTATTAAGAACTCCATTAATTTGCATTTAATACAGAATTATGAAGGACTTTGTTCATTCCCTGACATTTTTGTAGACTCATGATTGCTAGTGAGTAAACTGACTGAATTATAGAGTAATTCCAGAGTTTAAGTTTATTCACAGTTAATACCTACTATTGTTTTTCCTTCTTCTACTTACTTTTAATTTATACTCAGCATAACAGCCATCCCTGCCACCCCAAAAAAAAAAAAAAAAAAAAAGCACTCTGGTACCAAATCCCTTGACTATCTCCTACCTCTGGGGAGAAAATCCTTTAAGAAGAGTTAGAAAGGCTTGGGGTAGCCTAACACACTATTCTGAAAGAAGGCTGTCTATTCCTTCACATGGGCTCAGGCTATCAGAATTTGGAAACCCTCCAAGATTTTACTAAATTAGTTTTTCACAGGGTAACTTTGTCATTTCATTTAAAGTGAATTCCCAGATCACAATACTGATCTAAAAATATAAGTAAATAAATAACAAAAAGCAAAAGCGATTTTATTTTTTAGTATCCACTATTTTTAATTATCTATAGTGCTTTTGTTTAAAGGAATGTCTTTTTTCCTAAGATCATTCAGAAATAGTAAAATAAAATCAACAAACCATTGTTTGATGAAATTTTAAGTGAGATTAGTCTCGATTTCTAAGGTTTAAAATTACAAAATAATCTAGAAAAAAGAAATACCTCTAAATCATGCATCTTTGTTTTCTAAAAAAGTTCTCTTGTAATTCCAAATTTTGGATGTAGCCACCATTATTGCATTAATAAATATCTATAGCTTTGGGTAGATCAGTTAACATATTGGAACCTGTTTCTTCCAAAAATGAGAGAATATTTGCTTTATGTACCTTCTGGGGTTGTTGTGATAAAACAAGAGTATGAAGTTGAAAGCACACACAAATAATAAAACACTACATCAGTGCTATTGACATGCATTTATATAAGTTGATACCAATTTATAAGATGACTGTTAGATTTTTTTATGTTATTTCTAGGATGGTTACCATGAAACTTTATCCTTGCTCTTTGTCCCTCCCCCACTAATATGGACCATCAAGAAAAGACTATAAAAGAGTAGTACTATTATGTGTTACTACAGACACTCTAAGTAACGTATATACATTAATTGTTTATGTACCCACTGAACTAATTTCATTCTTCTGGGGTTGAGAAATGGTTAAAATCTTATGAGTTATTTAATTTTTAAAGTGTAGTTGAAAGTTCATACTTGCACACGACACATTGTCTATGAAGTTGGAGAGCAGTGAACATGACAATAACGGAGTAGTTTCTCGGCGGGGCTTTAACAAGGCGACGGAACTTGTCTCCATTCATTCTTATTACAGGCCTTTTATTGGTCCATTCCATCAGTTGACTAACCTTTTCAGATAACACCATCTAAAAAAAGCACAAAGACAGCATGCCATTAATACTATCAACTTGGCATTTAAAATTTCTTTTAGCTAGACAACTTACTTAAAACCAAGACTAATAAGCAGAGATACATAAAAAATGTGAAAGAACTAAAAATTAAATTTAGTACTTGTGCCTGATGATGATACTTATTCTTAAAATTACATTATTTCATGATGAGATTTAAATGTATATTGCAATACTACATTTTTTTGTGAATTACTTATTTCCTAATAAATAAAATAAAATCAAAAAACCTTTCATTGTCTAAAGATTCCAAAGAAAGTGAGAAAAGCCACTCTACCTGATTTTAAGGTTTATTATATAGCTACATAAAAGGATAGATACATATAGATCAATGGAACAGAAACAAGAGCCAGAAATAGACCTACACAAGTATAGCCAACTGATATTTCACAAAGGTGCAAAATCAACTCAGTACAGAAAGGACGGCCTTTTCAATAAATGGTGCTGAAACAACTGGACATCCATAGTCAAAAGTATGAACCTCAAACTAAACTTCACACCTTACACAAAAATTAATTAAAGGGGCTTCCCTGGTGGCGCAGTGGTTAAGAATCCGCCTGCCAATGCAGGGGACACGGGTTCGAGCCCTGGTCCGGGAAGATCCCACATACCGAGGAGCAACTAAGCCCGTGTGCCACAACTACTGAGTTTGCACTCTAGAGCCCACGAGCCACAACTACTGAGCTTGCCTGCCACAACTACTGAAGCCCTCGTGCCTAAAGCCTGTGCTCCACAACAAGAGAAAGCCACCACAATGAGAAGCCGGCGCACCGCAACAAAGAGTAGCCCCTGCTTGCCACAACTAGAGAAAAAGCCTGCACAAAGCAACGAAGACCCAACACAGCCAAAAATACACACATAAAATAAAATAAATAAATTTATTTTTAAAATTAATTAAAAATGGATCACATACCTAAATGTAAAAATGAAAACTATTTAAAAATTAGGAAAAAAATATGGGAGAAAATGTCCAGGATCAAGGGGTAGGCAAAGAGTTCTTTGACCTGACACCAAAAGCACAATTCATAAAAAAGAAAAAAAAAAGGTAAACTGGACCTCATCAAAATTAAAAACTTTTGCTCTGTGAAAGACCCTGTTATGAGGATGTGAAGACAAGCTACAGAGTGGGAGAAAATATTTACAAACCACACATCTAAAAAGGATTAGTAGCTAGAATATATTTTTTAAAACTATCAAAACTCAACAGTAAAATAAACAAAATAGGCAAGACATGAAAAGATTTCATCGAAGATGATTTACCGATGACAAAGAAACACACAAAAAGATGTTCAACATCATCAGCCGTTAAAGAAATGCAAATTAAGAGCACAATGAGCTATCACTACACACACGTTACTAAAATAAAATATAGCGACAGTACCAAATTCTGGCGAGGATGTAGAGAAACTGGGTCTCTCATACATTTTTGGTGGGAATGTACCATGGTACAGTCACTCTGGAAAACAGTTTGGCAGTTTCTTTAAAAAATTAAGCAAGCACACCATTGTAAAGCAATTATACTCCAACAAAGATGTTAAAAAAAATTAAGTAAGTAAAATATACGCTAACCATACAATCCAGCAACTGCATTCCCAAACATTTATCTCGGAGAAGTGAAAATTTATGTCTACACAAAGAAAGAGCTACATTTTGTTTGTTTCTTTTTAAAAGCCAGTCATCATGAGGCAATGGAAGAGAAGCATGGTTAGTCAATGAGAATTTCAGTTTGAAATAAACGCAATCATATTCATTTATCCTTCCCCTCACCTCTACCCTTATGTTCAAACTTTGCAAGAGTAGTAACAAGATGGGAAAAGATAAAAAAAGAAGTGCAGAAGAATCTCAATGCAGAGTTAATGCTAATTTATGGTTTTGTTCTTCTTTACAGGGATATGTTTGTAAAGGGCTGAGAAATCATGGAGTGGTTCACTATTCAGAAGCATTTGACCAATTACATTTCCCATTACTTACACTGAAGTTTGGCCAGGGCACTGCCATTCAAACTTTAAAAATAGTTCCTTCTCATTAAATTCAATCATCAAAGAACAGATGTTAGGATGTGCCTTTTCAGTTGGGAAGTGGATCAGGAACCTAATAGAAAGATAGCACTCTTTGAAAGATAGGTGTCAGTAATGCAAATGAGTTGCCTCAGACTTAGGCTAAGAAAAATAATCCCTGAAACCAGTAAGAATAGCTTCTGTGGCTTTAGTCATCCCAACAAAATTCTCAAAGAATGCACGTCTAGTGGGTTTAGTGGGTTTTAATTGAATGAGCCTAAATGGTTTTCCTAGGTGGTCAAGGAACCAGGACACAAGCATATTAATCCCCCCACCCCTGCTAGATGTTTCACAACACTTTTTACCTGTGTTATAGCACTTATCATTCTAAGACAATTTGATATCTGTTTCCTTCTCTAGATTATTAGCTACTAGAGAGCAGACACACATAGTACTTTACCATATAGTAGGCATTCAGTTAGTGTGTACTGAATTTCTATTTAACAGAACCCAGCTGGGAATGGACTCACTTGCATCATTAACATATAAGGAAAAAAAGACGATTGCACACATAAACACTTAATAGAAATGGGATTTTTTTTTAATTTCAGGAAGGAAACAATAACATGGATTCAAAAAATGCATGATCTACCTTTAAAGCATGCCTGAATTCAGGCAAATACTGAAAAAAATTTTACTTCCTGAGTACACTTCTATGAACAATAGAGAAAGATGGCACAAAAAATAGTTTTGTAGCAGATATAAAGTAATTCCAGTAAGAGCCACAAAATGAATATGTTACACATGGTAAAATGAATATAGTCTCTAATAAGCCCACAGAGAAATATATACACTTGCAGAAGACTGGTATAACAAATAATTAACAAAACTTGTGGAACAATGAATGATACTAAGGAAACAGGTTGTTGGGGGAGGGATAAATTAGGAATTTGGGATTAACATATACACAGTACTATATATAAAATAGGTAACCAGCAAGGACCTACTGTATAGCACAGGGAACTATACTCAATATTTTGTAATAACCTACAAGGGAAAAGAATCTGAAAAAGAATACATATGTGTATAACTGAATCACTGTGCTATACATCTAAAACTAACACAACATTGTGAATCAACTATACTTCAATTTAAAAAAAAGGAAACAGGTTGGTGGTAAAGGCAGTGGAAGAGAGTGAACTAGAAGGCAGATAGGACAAGGAACAAGGGGTGGAGGCTAGTTTAGCAGTAGAAATAGTTACCAACAATTGTCAAGAATAGGGATATTTGATTTAAAATAAGGCTGCATAAATTAAACTCAGTTTTTCTAAAAAATGAATTCTTATTATTTGATACAGACTTAATGATCCTCTTGGCTAAGAGAACAATATTAGTTCACAGAAAATATGCATTCTATATTCTAAAGCAGTCATTAATTTTGTTATGTTTTCAAATTAAATTTGACAGTTACCAGCAAATTCAAACATAATTTGCCTATTTTATTCACCATGGCTACAGATGCTATTTCGGGCTATTTTAGAAAAAAAAATGTAAAGCAGTAACAGGTATAGTTTCATATAGTCTATCTCTATTCAACCACACAGATATATGATCATTCCAATAAAACAAATGTATATGCTTTGAATTAGTGATAAACATGTGGAGTCTTCTTAAACAAAGTCTTGAATAGGTCTATGTAAAAAATGTATTATATTCCTCTTCTTGTTTATTAACAGACTGGAAAGACCAGATTTCTGGCTATACAATCCCCAAATAGCTTATCAAGTAGAAGAAATTAGTTCAAAGGAATTACAAATTCTCTTTAAAGGTCTTATAAATGGGATTATTACCTCAAAAGACTGCTTATTACCAAGGCAATTAATTAGGTTACTTTCTCAGTTCATTTTTTTTTAAATGAACTAGTTTTAAACTTTTACAATAAAAGTACATGAACATAGCTTGGGACATGATAATTAGAAGCTATAATCCTTAATCACAATGACCCAATCTTTTAACATTTTAATATATCTTAAAGTAAGCCCATCTTGATGTTATGGAGAAAATAGCAGTTACTATTTGGAATGCTTAGTACATATGTGTCAGGCAGCAACTTCTCTCCTTATAGAATGAGTATTTAATTCAATCCTCAGAACAACACTATGAGGTTAAATACTCTATTTTTAGTTCATTTAAATGTTGAGTAAACAGGATCAGAGAGGTTAAGCAACTTGGCCAAAGTGCCATAGTAAGACACAGAGCTAGGATTCAAACAGATCATTCTAAACCAAGGTTTCTCAGCAGCAGAGTTACTGACATCTTGGGCCAGATAATTCTTTTGTGGGGAGCTGTCCTGCACATTGCATGTTGAGCAGCATCCCTGACCTCTACCTATTAGATGCCAGTAGCATCACCAGCTGCCAATAACCAAAAATGTCTCCAGACATTGCCAGATAACCCTTGGGAAGTAAAATTCCCCACTCCCTCTTGAGAACCACTGTTCTAAACAGAAAAGGATTTTCACAGTCCGATTTAAGCTTTTATAATCTTATTATGTATTCAAAACTATTTTTATTAATTACCGAATTGGAACACAATGTAAAAGAAAGACTTGGTGATAAAGTAAATCAAAACTTCCCAGAGCAAGTCCTTAGCATAATGGATAATACACTTACTAGGTCCATGTTTCTCAAAGTGTGGCTAGTATAAAGGAGCCTGTTAAAAGAGCAGACTTCTAGGTTTCATCCTCCAGTAAATTTGATTCAGTAGATCTACATAAGCCTTACTCAAAGGATGCTGATTAGCAGGGTTAGCTGATAAAAAAGACCAAGCAGCATGCCTGAGTGAGCCACATACTGTCTCCAATACCCAAAACTGTCCAATAAGGTGCTGGGTTTCCTGTTTGGTTTGGTGGGCCAAAGAGAGCCGTTTTTCCATGACCACAACAGGAATTGAGTATTATAA